AGAGCTGGGGCTGTGGCTAAACTCCAGCACCTCCTCCAGCCAGGGTCAATCTGCAGGATTTTCAGTGTGCCAGATAAACCAGCCCCAGTTTGGCATAGATTGGGCCAGCTGAAATTTATTCTGGAAGATTCCTGAGGACCTTGAATGCCAAACCAAAAGTTTCCAGGCAGGTGATGTTTGACCTGCTCACCAGTCATGTTACTTGGCAGAAAACGTGCATTTTATTGGGAGACCTTCTTGTGGCCTTAAAGGGGCCTTTCAGAAAGACAGGGACAAGGAGGTGGGTTGGAACTAAAAGAGGGAGATTTAGACTAGAGAGAAGGAAGAAATTTTGGATGCTGAGGGTGGGGAGCCCCTGACCCAGGTAACCAGGGAGCTCTCTGAGCTCTGCATCCTTCTGCCACTTCCCCGCAGGAATTTTCGACTGTCTCAACAGCTCTGGAAGATAAGGAGGAAGGAAAAAAAGAAAACATTAACCCACATTCTGGCTTGATGAGGGGAGAGGAAAACATCCTGGAGTCCACCTCCAAGAAGGGAGCGTGGGGGGCTCTGGTGGTAGAGCCCAGGGTGTGGATTTAACTGGGATTAACTCTTTCCTCACCCCGAGCTGGTGCTGGCAGCCGTCGGCCTCCCGCTGCTGCACAGCTCTGCAGATGCTCTCTGCAGCTCCAGGCAGGGCTGAACCAAGCTGCAGGGTCGTGGGGTGAGGGAAGGGGAGAGGAGGAAGAAGGTGTGGAGCTGCTGGTGTAGGCTGCTGCTCCCTTTCTGGGGGTGCAGCCGTGGAAAGGGGAGCAAAGGAGAGGTGGCAACGGGCAGAGTCTCGATGGGAACGAGGTGCTGGGGAGAGAAAAAGGCCAAAGATGTGTGTCAAAAAGGCATCGTGGCCATGCAGCTGCTGCTGCTGGAGATCCCTCTGTGCCTCCTGAGCTGGCAGGAGCCTCCTGGCCCATCTCTTGGTGTGTTGCCTGCTTTGTAGGTGGCTGTTTTCTCCCGAGCAGCTTTCCTGGCGAGGGCAGAGCTGACCTTGACACAAGGTTCTCTCTCCTCTTTTAGCAGCGTCGCCCCTAAGCTGAAAAGCTGGCCAGCACAATGGGAAAAAAACAGAACAAGAAGAAAGTGGAAGAGGTCTTAGAAGAAGAGGAGGAGGAGTATGTGGTGGAGAAGGTCCTGGATCGACGGGTGGTAAAGGGCAAAGTGGAATACCTGCTGAAGTGGAAAGGCTTCTCAGAGTAAGTGGCTCCCCTCCCTCCCTGCTGCTGCCACGGGGTGGGTGCTGGGCTGCTCCAGCACCAGCATCTCTGCTGCCTTTGGCTCCAGAAGCCTCCAGGCCCGTGGCTCCATCTCCCTTGTCTGTAAAATGGTGCTGGAAGCACCTCGAGCTCTCATCAGAGCGACGAGAGCACAGCCTGGGTGAGAAAGTCCCAATTCTGGCTGTGCAGGGCCCTGCTGGGACATCCCCCCCACTTAAACCTCGTGTGAAACAACCAGCTGGAGAAAACACATTGAATTTCTCTCTCCTGAGGAGGGAAATAACTTCCCTGCCCTCCAGCATCCCTGCCTGCATCCAGTGGACACCCCCTTCCACGCGCTGCTTCTCTCAGCACCTCTGCCTGACCTGCTGCCCAGGACTTTTTGGAGGCAGGGGAAGCTGCCTGGGTGTCCAGCTTGGCTCTTGTCTCTGCTTGCAGTGAAGACAACACGTGGGAGCCTGAGGAGAACCTGGACTGCCCAGACCTCATTGCTGAGTTCCTGCAGTCCCAGAAAACAGCCCACGAGAGCGAGAAGTCGGAGGGGAGCAAGCGCAAGGCAGAGTCTGACACAGAGGATAAAGGGGAAGAGAGCAAACCAAAGAAGAAGAAGGAGGAGGTGAGGCACTGAAGCTTTCAGGAGTCATAGAACCATAGAATCGTTTTGGTTGGAAGAGATCTTTAAGTCCATCAAGTCCAACCATTGAGGTGTGAGCTGTTGGCAAAGCTCGGCCTCTTGGGGAATCCACAGCCCATCCTGGCACTATACACAAGGCCAGTTGATGAACCAAGAGGCCAAACTTCTCCTGAAGAACCATCCAAGGGGTGAGGCAGGAGGCTGGAGGTGCCTGTTGCCCCTCGAAGAGGAGGGGAACAAGGTGGAGCAGAGAGCCTCCTGCTCAGGGTGCTGTGAAAAGGGCCAGTTAAAGGCTCTGCAGTCTGGTTTTTTTCATCCTGGGAGCTGCTGAATTTTGGCCAGCACAAAAGTTTTGACCAGCAGGGCCTAGGAAATCATCTCAGTCCCTCACTGGCCTGTAGTCCTGGTAGTCTGAGTGACCAGAGACCTGTTAGACACCCCATCCCTGGAACCATTCCGGGTGAGCTTGGCCGGGACTCTGAGCACCCTGCTCTAGTTGGGGATGTCCTTGCTCCCTGCAGGGGGGTTGGATGAGATGACCTAGAAAAAGGTCCTTTCTCCCCAAAACCAGTCTGGGATCCTGTGAAACTGGGCTGTGGTGCTAGCAGGGGGAACTCTCCTCTCTCTGCAGTCAGAGAAGCCTCGAGGCTTCGCCCGGGGCTTTGAGCCGGAGCGGATCATCGGCGCCACGGACTCCAGTGGGGAGCTGATGTTCCTCATGAAGTGGTGAGTGTGGCCTCCTGCCTGTCACCCCTTCCCTCATTCCCTGCCAGAGAGGGGAGGAAACCTCTGCTGCTGCCCCAGGCGTCCCCCTGCGAGGAGGGACAACCAGCAGGTAGGGCCCCCGGGGGCGTGCGGCTCTTCAGGCGTCCCCCCCACGGGCACGAGCTCGGGGTCAGAGCAGAGCCACCAGGATGACCCCCACCCCCTCGCCTGTGGTGGGTGACACAGGGCTTGGCCCTGGCCCAGGTGGGAGCCAGACCCCTCAGGTCACCCCTGAAGTTTTTGCAGCACCTCAGGAGGGAGGGAGGAGCAGCGTTGGGTCAGCTCCTCACCCCTGTCCCCGACCTCACAGCTCAATCTTTCCATCCAGAGCCACACGGGAAGGGGTCTCTGGATGGCCCTGAGCACCCTGGGGACCACATTTATCTGCTGCTGCTTGATTCTTCTCCACCCTCCCCTTCTTCCCCCTCCTTTCCACAGCCCCCTAACTTCCAGCTCTGCTCTGCCCTGCAGGAAGAACTCCGACGAGGCCGACCTGGTGCCCGCCAAGGAAGCCAACATCAAGTGCCCACAGGTGGTCATCTCCTTCTACGAGGAGAGGTTGACATGGCACTCCTACCCCTCAGAGGATGATGACAAGAAGGAGGACAAGAACTAAGCCCCAGCACCCCGCTCTGGCCAGCCTCTGTGGAAAGATCTGAACTGTGGGTTTGAGCAAGAGGGAGAGAACGCAGCTCTGCTCGCTGGGGAGCTGGAGAAGATGCCCTTTGAAGAGACCAGTATGGTTTCTGTGCCCTGCAGCTGCTCCACTGCTTTACCCAGCTTCATGCTGGGGACAGATTCCAACCAGCCCGGCTCAATTTGGGGGAGGGAAGAGGGGAGGGGGGTGGAATTTGGGGGTCTTTGTTTCAAAAGCTGTCCATTTTACAGCTCGTTGGGAGAGGAGGAAGCAAAAAGCCCCTTCCAGGAAGGACTGAGGGGTGGGCTGGGGAAAGGGAGTGCAGATGGATACTGCTTGTTCTTCAAAGACCATCTCAGCAACCCACAGCCTTCTTCCCAATAGTGTTAACTCTGCATTTCTACAGTGTAGCATGTGTGTAGGGTTTTATTTTCCTTTTTTTTTATTATTATTATTTTCCTTTTTTTCCTTTTTTTTTTTTTTTTCATTTGCTATTTACTGGTGTATCAGTTTTGGGAGGGGGGGTTGGAGGGGAGGGATGTGGGGAAATCTCTTCTTGAATTGGCCCAAAGGGAGATGATGAGGTTGGGGGGAACCAACGTTCCAGATCGTTTCTAGATCTTTTTTTTTTAGAACATGAATTTCAGAGAAAAGGGGAAAAAAAAGAAGAAACAAAA